ATCACCACTGGTCACATGTAACTATGAGTTAACGTAGTAGTTGAAGTACGCACTGATCACGAACTACGAATCACGTATTAAGAATCACGGATGCCGTGTAAACAATTGCACGATGGTATCCCAATGGAACCGAGACGCCAGGAAAAGACCAAGAAAATAGCAGTTTATATATTGGAAGAGAACATGGGATTAAAATAATATGTACGAAAGAAGTTCATTGGTTATTCAGGCATCTACCAATCGCGTGCTCGTATTCTTGGTGTCGTACAGCTTCTGTCTGGGTCGCACGGCCTCTTATTGATCGGTACAATCGGCCTACGGTTCGTAGTCTAGCAGCTGTACCAAGTAGATGCTTTGCTGGCATCATCTGACTGAAACCGTAACGTGTCACCCCGTAAGCTAGAATCACCACAGTTGAATACGAATGTTAAAACCTTTTAGTTTCTACAAATGTTGATGTTACAAAGCTTGGTTAGGAAATAAAATGGTGTGGTGGTCGCACGTTGCACCATATGTTGATTGGACAAGGTTTAAACGATGTGTGCTCGTATCATTGAATCATTTAGCACATCTCGTACAGTTTCAGCGCGTCCGTATAACATGCGATATAAACCCTGTGAGTAAAAATCTCAAATGTAACACAAACGGTACAATTTTTCAATTCATAAGCTCTAAAATCAATCAAAAAGTGACATCACAAAAAATTAAATGCTTACCGTTTCGCATATTCATTTAATGTGAACTCCGTTTTTGATAGGTAAATCCATTAACAGACCGGGGGTTCTAAACACTGTTCACAAAACTACACCCCCATTATAATCACCAGTTTATTAATGTTTCAACATATGACATAATTACGACGATCGAGGTTCAGGAATTGCCGGTTTCGTCTAAAGCCTGTTGGGAAAAGGTGTAGCACAATTCATAAACACAAGAAGACATGTGGACGGAATTGATGTGGATCATTCAGTCCATCTGCTCACATTCGGCCCTAGACGACTATCTATATGTGATCATAGCAAACGAATAAGTATGTGAAGAGTTGAAATGAGTCATTTGAATCAAGTGGTGGTGAACCAGTGAGTTGCGTGATTTGAGTTTGGTTAGCGGTTAAGATCAAACTAAATGTGAGAAATTTATTTGGAATTGAAACCGTTTCAAACAAATCTGGTGCATGTTTGATGGAAGGATGGTGTAGACCTAGCGTTCAGAATAACGCCAGCGATGCGATACAGTTTCTGGACAAATAAAACACAGGCCACTCGTATCGACCAATCAGAAGTCCTACGGTCCAGACAGAAATTGTATGACGTGAAGAATATCAGCAGGCTATTGGTGGATACCTGTATAACCAATAAAATCTTTTTGTGCATGTTATTTAATTCCATTGATTCAGTTCGACAAACGAACTGCTATTTTTATGACCTTTGTCCTGTATCTCATTGACGGGAGATTCCAGTGTACAAGTGCCAGTGCGATTCAAAGTTTCACTTACGATCGTGATTAGTGATCCGTAATCCGTACCTACTACTTCGAATACTACAGCCGGGGGAAAAGAGGGGAGGTCATGTCACATACACACACATTATATATATATATATATATATACAGGTTAATACTCACCTTATCTCATCATCAATCACGAACAACTCTTTTCGCAGTCGCTCCAGGTCTCCGTCGATTGATGGGAAGTCTTTGAAAATACGTTTAAAAGCATCCTGAAAAAGGCAAGCGAATGACGAAATGCAATCGGTCACCGTGAAATCAACGTGTGGATACGAATTCGAACACCCGAAGGTGACAAACACGAGCAAAAGAGAACGGTTCTAAAACATGTCACATCATTATATGTGTGCGTGTGTGTGTGTGTGTGCTACTGTAACGCTTGGCAACCGCGTCAGTAATATTTTCTCGTGATTGCTGGTATCTCGCTGGACTGTTTTGGTTCAGAGTGTTTGTTTGCTTCACCTCTCAGGTTTAATTTTAACTCCGAAGACCCACGGAAGACCTGTCTACTAGTCTTTCCTCGCCAACCCGTGTCCCGTATCCCTAACACCGTTCCCCGCGGTCGTTCGTTACTCACAAAGCATCTGATTGTCTCCCACTGCGAGAATTCGAGGCAAGGAATATCCTGTCACGCGTCTCTGTTTACTCTGCTGCGCTTTAAGAGCCCAGAGAACGTCGCATTACATACAGTACAAAACGACTGTACAATTTGTCAGTAAGCTCATGTCTACTATTTCATCGGTCCCGAAGTGTGTCCAATCGGAACACAATCGATCGATAGGCGTTACCAATCTGAAGACAGATATATGATACGGGT